TAAAAGTTATTTTATAAAAGCAATAGACCACACTTTCTATGGGTTTACCGGCGTGATAACCCACTTGGGATGTTGGAAGAACACTCGAAAAGCTTGTAAATCACTCGCCTTCGGCTCGTGATTTACAAGCTTTTCTCGTGTTCTTCCAACATCCCGCGTGGGTTATCACGCCGGTAAACCCATAGAAAGTGTGGTCTATTGCTTAATTAAACCATGTGTATAATGTATTTAGCGGCAGACAACATGATACCCTTTGGAGAAAAGGCTTAACTTTAAAAAAGTGGACATTTCTAATAAAACAATGTATTTATTTAAGTAGATTTTTGATTATTCTAGTTAATGGTGAAGTCAAATTTTGCTTCAAAGCAACCTGATTCCTGTCTGGCAGTGACTCCCAGTATACCCCATAAGGCAGTTACACGTGAAGTTGTTGATACCATCCACACAAGAACCACCGTTATGACAAGTGTGATTGACCTAGTCATTTATCTCTATATTTGTTATATTTGTTTGTTAAAATTAAGCATAAGAAAAAAATCCTAGAAAAATCAAATCATTTATAAGAAAAAGATTAACTTTAATACCCCTATCTTCTAATGTCAGTCTATGATGCAAGTTCTTGGAGATTCAGTCTTTTGGCCAAAGCGGAAAATACCATATGATTCTTTAAACTAGCTTTTGGCTGGCGCCTCATATAAGCCCGACTTTTGCATTGTCTTGTTCATTGCATAAACTACACTTGCACGGTATGCAAATTTACGAGAAGCTTATACTTTGTATGTGCAAAGAATAATTCAAAGAATAATTAAAATACTGCAAACGTCAGGTTTACATAAACAGTAGCCAAGCTGGAGTGTAAAGAATATTATGGTATTTTCTACTTTCGCCAGTAATATTTCGTTTGAAACCTCCTTATAGAGTTTCACAGTGTACGGGCTTTCTTATTGTCCACACTAAAACTGCATCAAAAATTTACAAAATGTATTTAACAGCGTGCAAAGAAAGTAGTGTCCGATAGCCCGGGGCTAGTGGATTTTGCTATCGGGCTAGTGAATTCTGTTATTAACTAGCGCGACGGGCAAGTGACGTTTTTTGAGGAATTCAAATTACAGAAGAACTGTGAAATCAATCTGCTCATCAAAACGTTTTTGGGGCTACTTGAAATGACGTTCGGGCCAGTAAATGCTAGCTTCAGCTTGCCCGAATGCAAACTGTAAAAATGACTTTCTTTGCACCCTAATTTAATGTCAGTGAATTTCCATAAATCTTACTTGTCTCGCAGCGATCTCCTGTAAATCCTGCAACACATCTGCACGTGTAATTGTTTACACCATCTACACACCTCCCTCCGTTCAAACATGCGTGATTAACGCAGTCGTCATTGTCTGAGAAAAACAAAAAAGTACAACGTAAGTGATCTTTTAATGTGCAAGTCAAATTGTTTAGAGTATTAATGATAGAAGTACCATGTGTGACGTCGTTGGTCGTATTTTCCCACTGAAAGTGCATCAAAGCATTTATTTAATGTTAGTAAAAATGTCATAAATCTTACTTGTCTCGCAGCGATCGCCTTTAAATCCTGCATTACACCTGCACGTGTAATTGTTTACACCATCTACACACGACCCACCATTTAGACATGTGTGATGAACACAGTTGTCGATGTCTGACAAAAACATAGAAGTATAATTTATAACGCAGTGACCTTGTAGAAATGCAAATCAAATTGTTTCAAGTATTCTAATGGTTAAATTTGTATTTAATGAGAAAGGCAATTTTTTGCTTCAAAGCGGCATACCTGTCTCGCAGTAACTTCCAGTATACCCCTTAAGGCAGTTACACGTGAAATTGTTGATGCTATCCACGCAAGAACCACCGTTTTGACAAGTGTGATTTACACAGTCATTAATGTCTATCAAAAAAAATCAAAGGTGCTTTTACTGATTTTGATATAATACTAAACAACAACTAAAACCATAAATGTAACAACAGCAGTTTGAACAGGAAGAAAATCAAGTGAAAAGAACATTTTGCTTGCTGAAATTGTTCATATAATTTTTTTCCCTGTTAGTTTCGCTGTTTTTAACAATAATTTATTGCCACCGAGCTAAGAAGCGAGGTTGCCTCGGCGGCAGAATTATAACGCCGCGAAATGTAGGCCAAAACTCTCAAATTCTGCGTAACCCTCTAAAAATTGCATTTTTGACCATATTTGGGTATAAGTAAGACCCCATATTTGGGTAGTGATGTCTTGAATTTACAACGCGTGGTCCGAAATTGGGTGATTCAGTGTGCAGCTGTTCGTTGTCTGTTCAAGAGGACCTAACAGGTGAGCAAGATTTAATACGATTTCTAGTTTGAAGGGGCAATTAGTGCTCTGGTTTGCTTTATAAATTGCGTTTAAAGCAGCAGCTGATCAATGAATAGGGTTTTACGCTCAAATTTTTGTCAGAACCAGCTTGTCTTTTGCAGCTCGATTTATATTGAGGTAGCGTGTTCGCTTCTCGACTCAGAACCAGGGTTTTCATTGTTCTGTTTTCCTTTGTGAATTGAATTTTAAGCGGTGGTTGATCAAGGCACAGGGTTATATTCTCAAAAAAATATCAGAACCAGCGTGTTCTTCCCAGGTCGATTTAACTTGAGCCAGTCCTCACCTACCGTGAGGAATGCAACGTATTTGCGGACCTTTTGTTTTGAATTTATTTATGTCTTTTGAGAGATTTTGTCAACCAGCATGTTTTTTTGCTGCTCGATTTACATTGAGACAGCCCAAAACTCCCGTGAGGAATGCAACGAATTTGCGGAGCTTTTGTTTTGAAGACTATCATTATGCCTTTCAAGAGACTCTTTGTCCTGTGACACTCGCTCATTGGATCTTTGTCTTTTATTCAAGTTTATATTTTTATACCTCTGATACATTCCGCCCCATTGTTGTGCTTTTCACACATTTTACTTTACACCAATTTTTTTCTGGTGTATATTACCACGCGAAATATTTTCTTATCCCTGATGACGTTGTTGCTCGGAATTTAATTATTATTTTTAATTTCAGCGGTCAAAGGCCTCATTTAAACTAAATTTCTAACGTTTATAGTTTTGATACAATGGAATTTTCCAAGAAACATAAGTGCTAACTTGCTAATATTTACCAACAAAGCTTCAAGCCATGTTGTGATTCTTTTAATAGAAGTGAAAGCCTAGAATGTGGCAAAGTTGTTGTTTTGAACTTTGGTGCCATCCTTTTCTTTTGCAGAATCCATTTTAAACCTTTAAAATTATGAAAAAAATATCGCGAAGATCTGAATAGGCACATTCCACAAAAAATAAACGAATTCGCTTTGTTAACACTTGCTGGAAGGTAACCCTAGTTAATATTAATATTTCTAATGTTATAATGTGAAAGGTCGGGAAAGGTTTCAACCCAGTGGTCATTTACAATGTTTATAATTTAAATTATACATTATAAAGGGTATAATTTAATTTTGGATACCATTTAAGCATAAGATTTTAGATACTTTTTAAGTGTAAGAATTAAATTCTAAAAAAATAAAATGATTAGGATGAAAATATTAACTTCAAAGCCGATGTCGTAGTTCTACCTTCTAATGTCTGTCTATGATGTAACTCCTTGGTTATTTAGTCTATTGGCCAAAGCAGAATAGCCCATAATTTTTTTAACTGAGATTTTGGTGGTGCTTTATTGTAAACCTGACTTTTGCATTATGTTTTGTTCATTGCCTGAACTACACAGGCATGGTATGCAAATTTACAAGAAGCTGATACATTGCACGTTCAAAGAATAATTAAAGATACTGTAGAAATCTGGTTTACATAAAGCAGTAGCGAATCGGAAAGGTAAAGAATATATTAGTAATTTTCTCCATCACTAATAACATTTCTTGTCGACTCTCCTTATATAGTTTTTAAGTGCTTTTTTTTTTAATCTACTCAACGAAAAGACATCAAATATTTATTTAATATCAATGAAATTCCATCCGTCTTACTTTTCTCGCAGCGATCTCCTTTAAATCCTGCAACACATCTGCAAGTGTAATTGTTTACACCATCTACACACGACCCACCGTTCAAACATGTGTGATTAACACAGTCGTCAATGTCTGACAAACACATAGAAGTACAATTTATAACGTAAGTGATCTTTTAAAAGTGCAAATCAAACTGTTTCAAGTATTAATGGTTAACTGAAATTGCATTCATTGAGAAAGCCAAATTTTTGCTTCAAAGCCGCATACCTGTCTGGCAGTGACTCCCAGTATACCCTTTAAGACAGTTACACGTGAAATTGTTGATGCCATCCACGCAAGAGCCACCGTTTTGACAAGTGTGATTTACACAGCCATTAATGTCTGCAAATTCAATGTGACTCAATTTATTAGAAAATTAGAAAAGCTTCAGGAAAGAGCGCTCCGTATTGTGTTTAACAGTAACTTGTTTACTAATGATGAACTGTTAAAGAAATCCAATCTCAGCACACTTCATAATAGGAGACTGCAGGACATTTCAATAACTATGATCAAATATCATATGGGTCTATTACGTATATATTTGAATAACGTATTTGTAACTTAGTTCCTCAAGTACCATTTAAACTGTGAATAATATCCCGAATTTCAACACTGTTAGGTATGGTAAACATTCGATCAGTTATTTCAAACCATACCTATGGTCTAAACTCCCGAAAGAAATTAGAAATATCTCATCTTTAACAAAGTTTAGACCTAGAATTAAAAAAAGAAACATAGTGGAACTGGTTGATAATTCTAACTGTCAGAATTGCTATTTATGCCAGTCTTAATTTCTTCTTAGTGCTTGTATCCTTATTTATATCGATACATTCTTATCATACATTTATAGATCTAATTTACACCACTATATTTATAACCGTGAGCATTTTATTCCTGTGTCCAGTCTTTTCCTTGTGTCCCCAATTACCTTGTAAACTAAATATCCTGACACATAAATAAAGTTTATTATTAATA